GTTTTAGAAGGGATATAAACATAGGGCAGATTCCGGTCCTCACACATAACTGGAAGGTGGCAGTATACCTCCACAGGAAGTGTGTCTCCTGCCAAAACCATGATCCCCTTTTCGCCTTTGTTGATAAATTTCTGAACCTCCTTCACGCCGCGTCGAATCTGTTTTTGCTTCACGGCTTTCTTGATGCACTTGTAGAGCTTCTGCGTGAGGCAGCGGGAAGCTAGGGGCTGCGCGATGGGGTTTAGGTTGAACAGCAGTTCATGGTAGCGTTCCCCGCAGGGCGTCTCTGCCGGAGCCTCCGGCTCATTTGGGTCCGACTTTATTTTGGTCATGTCCCTCATTTTCTTTTAATGCTTTCTAGATCATTTAATAGTCTGCCCAAAGCATGCTTAAGTATTTCAAGTCAAGGCTTGAATTTGTTCTTCAGTTCCTTCAGCATAAGAAATGCTGAGCAAGTTCAGGCACTTTGATTTTCTGACTCCATTTCTTTGCACATTTCATTGTAATACTTTGTCTTTCTGCTCTGCCCTTTGAAATATTCGGTTCAGCTCCTTAATTTCTTGATTTCCTCCCTTTGCTTTGGCTTCTTGGCACTCTAGTGCAATATTCAGAGTCTCACCTACATCCATCTTGGTCCTTTCTTCCTCCTCTGTCTTTGTAATGACCTTTTACATTTTTCTTGGATGTTATTTTTTATATCCTTCCATCGCTCATCTGGTCTTCACTTGTTAGTTTTCAAGGCCTCAGACCTGTTTCTGAGATCATTTTGAACTTCAGGTGGAATAGATTGAGAGTCAAATTTTGTTTCCCGTGGATTTGACTTCATTTTCCTTAGCTTCAGCTTGAACTTGAATATGAGTAGTTGGTGGTCTTTTCCACAGTCAGTATCTGGCCTAGTTTTCACAGATGACACTGAGCTTTTCCAGCAATTCTTTCCACAGATGTAATCAGTCTGATTCCTATGCATACCATAAGGTGAAATCCATGTATATAACCTGTGTTTATTTTTCTTATAAAACATATTTGTAGTGAATAAGTTAACTGTGCAAAATTCTGTCATTCTATCTCCAGCTTCATTTCTGTCACCAAGTCCATGTTACCCAACTACTGATCCTTTGTCTCTGTTCCCAACTGTTGTCTTCCAGTCACACATTATTATTAATACATCTTGATTGGATGTTCAATAGATCTCTGACTGCAGAAGTTTGTAGAAATTTTCTCATTCCTCTTCTTTGTTTCTGGTTGTTGGTGCATATATTTGAATGATAATGGTATTCACTGGACTTCCTTGTATGCGTATGTATATTATCCTGCCATTCATGCATTATATTTCAAGATAGATCTAGAAATGACATTTTTAACTATGAAAAAGCAACCCCTAAACAAATATATTATCTAACCCCAGTAAGAACAGCAACATATAACACAACAGCAAACAACAAGTGCTGGCGAGGTGGTGGGAAAACTGGAAGCCTTATTCACTGTTGGTTGTTGTTGTGTGCCATTGCGTCACTTGGGACTCATAGAGACCCTATGTATAAGAACTCTAAATGCTGTTCTATCCTGTGCCAACCTAGCCATCTCAAACGCACTTATTCCCACTGCTCCAGTCACAGAATTGATCCATCTCACCAAAGGTCTTCCTCTCCTTAGCCGCCCCTCCACTCTGCCAAACATGATGTCCCTCTCCAAGGACCAGTCCCTCCTTGCAACATGCCCAAAATATGTCAAATGAAGCTTCAGAATCCTTGACTCCAAGGAGCAGCCTGGCTTCACCCTCTCCAGGACAAACCTGTTTTTTCTCCTAGCAGTCCATGGTATATTCAACACTCTTCTCCAGCACCACAGCTCAAAGACATCAATCCTCTTTCTATCAACCCTATTCACTGTCCAACTCTGTGATGCATAGCACATAATTGCGAAGACTATAGCCTGGATCAGGCCACCTTAGTCTCCAGCCTGAAATCATTTCAGAACTCTTGAGAGGTCCCTCACAGTCGACTTTCCCAATGCAATTCGTCTCCTGATTTCCTGGCTGCTGTTACCAAGAGTGTTGACTGTGGAGCCAAGTAAATTAAAACTGTTAACTATCTCAATCTCTTCACCATCCATGCTGATGCTGCCAATTGGCCCAGTGGTTAGAATCTTCGTTTTCTTGACGTTTAGCTTCAGTCCATATAGGAGGCTCTAGTCCTTGATCTTCTGCAGCAGGCGCCTCAGGTCCTCCTCAGTTTCAGCAAGCAGGGTTGTGTGTCATCTGCATAACGCAGGTTGTTGATGATTCTTCCACCAGTCCTGATGCCACATTCCTCTTTGTATAGCCCAGCGTCTCGGATGATCTGTTCTGCATACAGATCGAAAAGGTATGGAGACAGAATGCATCCCTGACGAACCCCCTTCTTGATTTTGAACAATGTAGTGTCTCCTTGCTCTGTTCTGACAACTGCCTCTTGGTCCAAGTATAAGTTTCACATTAGCACAATCGAATGTTCTGGGATTCCCATTCTTCTCAGAGTCAGCCACAGTTTGTTGTGATCCACACAGTCAAAAGCCTTTGCATAGTCAATGAAGCACAGATAGACATTCTTCTGGTATTCTTTGCTGTCTTCTAAGATCCATTTGACATTAGCTATAATATCCCTAGTACCACGACCACTTCTAAATCCAGCCTGCACATCTGGCAGTTCTCTGTTGACATATTGTTCCAAACGTTTTTGGATAATTTTCAGCAGAATCTTGCTTGCATGTGATATCAATGATATTGTTCGATAATTTCCACACTCTGTTGGGTCACCTTTCTTTGGAATGGGAACAAATATCGATCTTTTCCAGTCAGTGGGCAGCTGGTGCAACCACTGTGGAGGGCGGTATGGCGCTTTCTCAAAAATTTAAAAATTGAAATACCATTTGACCCAGCAATACACTGCTGGAAATATATCCCAAAGAAACTATAACCACCACCCAAGTAGATATATGCACACCCATGTTTATCACGGTTTTGTTCACAATAGCAAGGAGTTGGAAACAACCCAAGTGCCCATGAACGAACGTATGTTCACACAATGGAATACTGTGCTGCACTGAAAAACAAGGAACTCCTAAAATATTATACAAATGGGTGACCCTGGAGGACATTATCCTGAGTGAAATATCTCAGTCACAAAAGGACAAATACTATATAGTGCCACTGCTGTAAAATGAGACTGACATTGGGGTTGGGGGAAGACTGAGAAAGATGACATAAATTATGTATATTACATTGAGACAGATGAGGGAGATACTGTTTAAAAAGGATGTATGATTAGGTATTATTGTCATGACAGGTGTCCAGAAGGAAGGCGGCATAGTACAGTCACCTTGAGGGGAGGGATTGTATAACGATGAAAGAATTTTTTTTTTTACTTTTCAAAGTAAAACTCTTGTGAACTGGGGGGGGGAAGGGGTGAACAGGGAGAAAAGTGAAACAGTGACTGAGTGGAAATCCAAAATCTCTGTAAACGTCTATTAAAATTAATAATAATTTAAAAAGGGGGAAAAAAGAAAAAGCAACCCTCACCTTTTTCTCTCCAGCACAGTAGATCATATGAGCATCTGATTAAAAATGTTTCATGCCTAGCTGTCTCATTTTGCCAGTACCTAATATATCAATATTTGTGCGTTCCATTTCTGTGAGTCATCAAAAATAAAATAAAGATTGACATCCTAGGTCCAGGTGAGCTAATATGGACTGGTGTTGGCCACTTTGGATCAGATAATCACATGATGTACAATCACATGCTGGAAATGACAGACTGAAAAGTAATGGTGTGGTATTCATTATCAAAAGAACATTTCAAGATCTACCTTAAGTGCAATGCTACGAGTGATAGGATACTGTCCGTAAGCATGCAAGGAAGACTTCTTAATACAACTATTCAGATATACACACCAACCACAAAGGCTGAAATTGAAGGTTTTTATCAGCTTTTGGAGCCTGAAATATATCAGACCTGCAGTCAGAATTCTTTATTACTAATTGGTGACTACAGTGTAATAGTTAGGAATAAAGACAAACTGGTAGTTGGAAAATACAACCTTGGAGACAGGAATGATGCTGGAGATCACATGATATGCTTTTATACAGTTATGGCAAATATTTTTTTTATTCATGGCAAACTTTTTTTTTTAAAAAAATGAGCTCTCTGGGTTAGATGCTGATTTGTGGGGAAATGGCTAACCACATCAAGAAAGTTGTCATTATTGGTAAATAGGAGACCCGCTATGGTGTTTCCTTCAGGAAGACAGTGAAGAAAAATGAAATCGGCCAGCATGCCAAGTACACTTCCTCCTTTTATGGCACAACCAAAATGAAGAGTCAAGCTGTGGGGATCCATGCCTGTGGTTCTGGCATGAAAATAGTAACTGGTGGTGCCTGGATTTACACCACCACCTCTGCAGGCACAATGAAGTCTGCCATAAGAAGACTGAAGGAACTGAAAGACCAGGAGAAGCTCTCCATTTAAAGCAGCTCTAGCCTGTAATAAATGGATTTGTAACGATTACTGTGATTTCACATGTCATTCTTGCCAGTTCTAATTGGAGAAATTACATTAATTTGTGTAAAACATGCCTGTGGATACTATGAACTTAGAGGAAGGACAATAGTTCTTTAGTTTAATAGGGTTGGTACTAGATGGCACTTAACAACAATATGTAACATCAAAGCCCTTGTCTTTATTTTGGAGTTGAATGAAGTGGCTGGACTCTGTAAGGTGGTGCTCTTGTTTTGGTTGAGGATCTTTGTGGGTTGTTTGGTTTTTATTTTAGCTTGTTGTTTAGAGTCAACAAGTCCTCCTGGAGGGCCCTTATATTTAAAAGTTGGGCCCAAGGGATTATATTTTAATCCCTTGTTACTATATTTTGGAGGAACATTCTTCTAAGTCATACAGCACTGTGGTTAATTTGCTGTGCTGACGTAATCTGGGTTTGCTGTGACACTGAATCTTGTGCCATTTGCGTCTCAAATGCCATAACACCGTAATGACTACCCATCGTGGGCAGTGTTTGGTAGAGCTCCCAGACTGATCAAAGTTTGGAAGCAGGAGTGGCATCCACATGCTTCTGGAAACTTTATGAATTTGGAGAAATGATGATAGTTCTAGAAAGGCTTCAGGCCTTTTGTTCATACGGTTGCTATGAGTTGTGCACAACTTGACAGCAATCAATAACAACAATTTGTGCGAACTTAACATTTAGATGGAATTGATTCAAGATCAGTTAAAGTCAGGAAATGAAGAAATGCATTGCACTGGGGAAATCTGCGTGTGGGGACCTTTCCAGATTATTAAGGAGTAGTGATGTCAGTTTGAGGACTAATGTATGTTTGATTCAGGACATAGTCTTTCTGATTGCTGGCTATGCATCTGAGACCTGGACAATGAATAAGGCTGACAGAAAAAGAATTGATGCCTTTGAGCTGTGGTGTTAGAGAAGAGCACTGAACATCCCATGGATGGCCATGAGAACAAACAAATATGCCTTGGAGAGGGTGCAGCTGGAGTGCATCTTGGAAGCAAGAATTATGACGCTTCATCTCACATACTTTGGGCATGTTGTTAGGTGGATTAAAGTTGTCAGCTATTTAATTTTATTTGGATCCACAATCAGCATCCCTGGTAGCAGCAGTCAAGAATAAAAAGAAATTTTGCTTTAGAAAAATCTACTGTCAAGAATCTCTTTAAAATACTGACAGTCCCCACCCAGCTGAATTACGTGTAGATCACAACACTACCCATTTACCTCAACACCTCTGGCAGGAAGTGTGACTGTTTGGAGGATGATGTACAGCATTTGGGTCACTCCAGATGACGAGATGCTTTAACTGCCCTGTCTCTTATGAAAAGGGAAAAGTGTGGTTGTATATAAAATCACTCAGTTCATAGAAAAACACTTTGAAAAGTAAAAGTACTTTTCTGCTATAAAAGTTTCTTAGTACATTTTTCTTCTCTTTTATAGGATTTAATGAAGATACTTCGTAAGGAGACAGATTTGAAACAAATTCAGACTTTAGCGCAAGGAACTCATACACGACTCAAATATTCACAAAGCGAACTAGAGAGTATTAAAAAGAAGCATATTGCTGTGCTTCACAGGGTAATGGAAGCTTATAAAATTTCATAGCCCTTAACCAGAGTATATGATTTCAGAAATTGCATCGATAAAGCACCATTTAACTTTTTTCGATATTTCATCACATGTAATTTTATTTTTATGATTGTTAATCTTGCTATCTAAATCCCATTTTATCTGTATCTAAACCCCATTTTATCTCACTAGATTCCTCTTACTCTGAGAAATGCCTGCCACATTTTCATGTCGCTATGTCTGAGCTCTGGTGTTCTAGGCGTAAGAAACTACTGCAATCCCAAAGGCACATGGTTTGAATCCACCAGCTGCAAGATGAGAAGGATAGAAACTCTCCCTCTGTGCTATTTACTGTCTGAAAACATGCTTAGATGGTCAGCTGTCAGTTGGTTCCGACTTGACAGTAAACTGCAACAACCGTAGCTTGTGTCAGGGACCTCTAGTGGCCTTTTAGTACAGGAATTACACTGCCATCCCAAAGATAACATTGTTTGAGTCCACCAGCTGCTCCACAGAAGAAAGATGGGCACTCTTCTCCCACAAGTGTTCAGTCTCTCAAAACACTCAGGAGGGTTCACCTGTAACTCAGACCCTCAGCAACAATACTGTATTGTGGGGAAGAGCTCTAGTGGCATAGTCCATTTGGAGGTGCCCTGCTGTCCCAAGGACAACACACCTCCAGTAGTTGGAATCCATCAGCAACTCCACAGAAGAGTGTTTACTCATTGCAGTTCACAGCCTGAACCTGAGGGCAGGTCACTATGAGTTTGAACTGACCTAAGAGCAGTGAACTATATGTAATAACTATGTTATAAATTCCATTTTTTTTTTAACTAGGAACAATCTCAGCTACAAAGTGAACTACTAAACATTGAGTCTCAATGTACTATGCTCAGTGAAGGAATCAAAGAACAGCAAAAAAGAATTGAAAAATTTCAAGAGAAAATAGACAAGGTGATAAGTGTTTCTATTAATTGATAAGTTCTCAACCCATTGTAAGTAAGTTTCTGATGTTAAAGCAAAGGTTGATACGTAACAGTAGTGCCCTTAGTGAAACAGCATGAAAGCTGAGGTTATGAGCTTACAAAATGAATGTCCCTGTATCCGAGAGCTGCTGTCAGGCACAGTGACTCGTGTGTAGCGACTCTCTTCTTTTTAAACTCTTTGGATGTGTAGGTATCCCAGCCTGTCCATTCTTTCTTCACAGCCCTTATCCACTTGAGAATTCTTTTTCAGTATTATTCTTTATCGAAATATCACACATCTGGTACATTATTATTTTTTTTGCAAACTCCATGACCCTCTCAGGTTAGTTTTCTCTGTGTATTGTGTATATTAATTTGTGTGTTCATATTTTGTATAGAAAACACTATTGTTCAGGTGCAATACAAAGATTTGGTTGTCTGTCTTCTGTTATAAAATGACAAGAAAGGTATGTTCTGCTGGGATGCTTTGCCCTGCTGCATATCTCTAACCCTTCAAGAGTTACTCTCATGCCATCACTCAGTGACTACACCCATTACTTTAAGTTCTTTTATCATGTGATTTGAAACCATGTATAAATTTATCCCCAATTATCTCTCTTTTAAGGTAAATACCTCTTAATTTCCTAGTGAATTCATGTTGAGCTTGAACATGAGAGCAGCGCTGATAACTGCATACAGTGTTGTCTGCTATCCCCAGAACAGAGCATGAAGTCTAGATGCCTGGCCAGAATAATGACAGGCTCTGCACAGCCTGTAATCGTGGTCCCCATGTGTGTACTTTCCACTTAAGTTCATTGTAGCTTATGTAGGCTGCATCACCTTAGCACTCCTCTTTCATTCGCATAGTAGAATGTAGATACAGCTGAGATCTGAACATTTTTAGCTTGTCCTGTTAAAATGATTCTCTCTTGGGCTATTATTGTATATGAGTAAGTGTACACAGTATAAAAATTGAAGCCGAATACAGAGATTGAAGTTAAATGTTATTTTGTTGTTTGAGTTCATTTTTGTTTTTCCAAATATCAGTTTTTATTCTTAATTCTAAGATATATTACTTTTTTATCTACTGACTAATATGTTACACTATTACCCATCTGTAAAAACTATTTTACGTAGGTTTAGTGTTATATTTTTGGTATGCCCAATGTAAATAGAATATTTCCAATTTTATATGAAATACTTTATAAATCTAGAATAGTGAGTAAAGCTGGTTATGTGGTTTTCTATTAAATTTGTATAATAACAATAAAAATAGATGTACATAATTGTAATGTTAAAAGATGAGACAGTATTACTTGTTGGGACTAATTTTTGATCCAGGAGGGTCTTATGGGACACCTAGTTTATAGCACTGTCTGTACACTTTCTTAAAATTAATAAACCAATTGTTTTAAAATAACTTAAAAGGTAGAGGATGATATTTTCCAACACTTCTGTGAAGAAATTGGCGTGGAAAATATTCGCGAATTTGAGAACAAACATATTAAGCAGCAACAGGAAATTGATCAAAAAAGGTATTTTCATTAAGAGATGTTGATAAACAGCTTACAAATAGAATACTACCTATTTTATCATTTAAAGAAATTATGCTTGAGGTAGTCTTTATTTCCGTTTATGAGAACTTGCTAGTAAATACTCATAAAAAGATCTGACGTTTCAATTTCATAATGTTTTAAAGAGAGAAAATATAAATAAATGTAGTAAGAAAAGAGAGTGGGGCAGAAGTGGTGGTTATAAACAGTAGTATGGCAGTGGTTTACTTAGTCTCTGTAAATTCATATGCATAAATCAAATCGATTATGCCAAAAACTACTGAAAGCTGGTTGTTGTTGTTGTTGTTAAGTACCATTGAGTCGCAGGCAACTCATAGCGACCCTATGAAGGAGAGTCCTCAACGCTTGGGTGCCTTTCATCCTCCCTTCAGGTTCATAGGGTTTCTGGAAGCAAGCTATTATGGAAGTGGATGCCACTCCTCCTTCCAGAAAGCTGGTAGAAAATTTAATAAGATCAATTACCGTAAGTTAAAATGCTTTTTTAAAAAAACTTTCTGTCCAACCCAAAGAACCCTAAAGGGTGGTTTCACAAGTTTCAGGGAAATGGGGAACTTCAATATTTACTGTTTGTATAGATGTTCCATATATAAATAGAACCCTGGTGATGTAGTGTTAAGCACTCACCAATGCTCCAAGGCCGAAAGATGCAGTCTGCTTCTTTAAAAACTGCAGCCTTAGAAACCCTATGAGACAGTCTGCTCTGTCCAGTTACGGTCACTGTGAGTTGGAAACAATTCAAGGACAATAGTTTTGGTCTGCTGTGTCTTCAGAATTTAAAGTGTAAAAGAGGAAAGAAAAGTTTTGTGGGTTTTCTTTGTGGGTTCCCCCCCCCCATTAAATGAAGTAGTACAGATGCCCGGATTAAAAAAAAACAAAAACACACAACGTAGAGTAAAAACCTATTAATCAGTCCCATTTGTAAATAACCAGATATAATAAGGTTAGACTCTGGCAGTATAGCAATAACAGATCTGGTGAACTTTACATCAGAAGGATGAGTCAGCATCAGGAAATCTATTGCTGTAGCTCACCATGAATCACATAAGTAGTGCTGTGTGATAAAAAGTTCAACATTTGACACAATTGAACATCCAACCCTGGTTTTAGATTCTTAATAAAATGTGAAAGTGAAGAAGATTAAAATTAATCCACAGTAACCAAAATATGACTTTGAATCTATCCCACCTGAATTAAAATCTTGAGAACAGGTTTCACTCTTCAGTTGCCAGTGATCAAAGACCAAAGGATCTGTAGGATGAAATCAAGGATATCATCTATGAAGAGAGCAAAAGGTCATTACAAAGACAAGAGAGGAGGGGAAAAAAAACATCCCAAAGAGATGTCAGAAGTAACTATGAAAATTGTATCTGAGCATCAAGAATCCAAAACAAAGGGAAGAGATGCTGAAGTAAAAGCTGAAGAGACCATTTCAAAGGGCAGGTTGGAAAGACAAAAGCAACAATGAAATGTGCAAAGAGCTATATTAAGAATAAAAAGGGGAAAATTACTCTGGCATTTCTCAAGCTGGAAAAAAAACACCAACCCAACCCTAAATTAAAAAGCCTCCAGTTGCTATACTGAGAGATAGCATGGGCAAAATCTTGAATTATCCAGGAAGCATCAAAGAAGATAGAATGGGTAGAATAACTGTACCAAAAGAACTGATCAACACTAAAAAAGTTCAGAAGGGTAAAATAATCAAGAGCCAGTGATAACAAAGGAAGAAATTCAAGCTGCATTGAAAACACACTTGCAAAAAAAAAAAAAAATTAAGATCTCCTAGAAACACATGAGCTACTGATTGACAAGTTACAGCTAACAGTTGCAATCCTGATGTGTTTACCAGGCTATGTTAGGTAATTTGGAGGATAGCTGTCTAGCTGATTGACTAGAAGATAACCATATCTGTTCTCATTCCCCATGAAAGGGCAACCATCAAAATGTGGAAATTACACAACGATATCACTAGTAACATATTCAAGCAAAATACTGTCTATGGTCATCCAAAAATGCTAGAATAGTACATTGGCAAGAGAAGTGCCAGAAGTTAAAGCCAGATTTAGAAGAGGTCGTAGCACCAGGGATAATAACTGTTGATGTCAGATTTGTTGTGACTGAAACAGAGAATAATAGAATAATAACTCATTTTTATTGACTCTGCAAGGTTTTGTGAACCACAACAAGCTAGCTATCATTGAGAAGTATGGGAATCTCAGAACACTTAATTGTATTCGTACTAAACCTATAACTCTACCAAGAAGCTATTGTCTGAACAGAACAAGGGAACACTGTATGGTTTAAAATCAGAAAGTGTGTGCATCAGGGTTGTGTCCTTCGTACCTTTTCAGTCAATAGGCAGAACAGATCATTGGGGAGGCTGGACTTTATGAAGAAGAGACTGTGGCATTAGGATGGGGAGAAGATATTAACAGCCTTCATTATGCAGATAATACAGTCTTATTTGCTGAAAATGAGGACCTGAAATACATGCCACGGAAGAGCAAAAACTAGTCTTTTTTTTTTTGTGTGTGTGTGTGTGTATGTGTGTGTACCGTCAAATCAGATCTGACTGGTACAGGAGGTTATTGCGCCTCCTTCTCCGGCAGAGCATCTGGTGGATTCGAACCGTAGCCTCTGGGATTGCAGTGCAGTTTCTTGCCACTAGGCCACCAGAGCTCCCCCAAAAACTACAGTCTTAATAAGGATTATAACTCAACATCAAGAAAGAAAGATCCTTACCACTGGGTCAGAAGGGACCATCATTATAGATGGAGAAAGGATTGGGAACTGTCATTGATTTCATCTTAATTGAATCTGCAGTCAACATCCTTGGTACCAGCAGTCAAGGAGACATATTTTACTAGTCAAGTTCATTTTCAGGGACCTCTCCAAAATACTGAAGAGTAATGATAACAGTTTGAAGACTAAGGTGCACCTGAGCCAGGCCATGGTCTTTTTAGTCACTTGCTATGCATCTGTGAGAGCTGGACAATGAATAAGAATGACAGAAGTTAAAAATAAAAAGAATGACAGAAGTTGATGATTTTGAGTTGTGGTGTAGAATAAAAGTACTGAATATCCCATGTTGTTGCTGTTGTTCTGTGCTATCAAGTCGACTACAACTCATAGGAACCCTATGAACAGTGGTTCTGCACCCTGTCCTATCCTTAGCCAACCTAACCATGTCCTACACACCTGACCCCATTGCCACACTGTGTCAATCCATCTGATCCATCCTTGGAGAAGGAAATTCCAGGCATGATTTCCTTCTCCAAGGACCAGCCTTTCCTTGTGACATGCCCAAAGTATGCAAGACAGAGCTTCAAAATCCTTGTTGCCAAGGAGCAAACTGGTTTCATCCTCTCCAGGACAGAATTGTTTGTTTTCTTGACAGTCCAGAATATGTTCTGTACTCTTCTGCATCACCACAATTCAAAGGCTTTCACTGTTCTTTTGTCATCTTGATTTATTTTCCAGCTCTCAGATGAGAAGTAATTGAGAAGGTCATACATAGCCTGGATCAAGCGTACCTTGGTCTCTAAACTTACATCACTGCTCTATTGTACTCTTGACAGCAGACTTCCTCCCCCTCCCCCCAGCACAACTCATCTTGAGATTTCCTGACTGCTGGTACCAGTAGTATTGAGGGGGATCTGAGAAGGATGAAATTATAAACTGCCTCTATCTTTTCTCCCATCTGTCATGATACTACCTATTGACCCTGTGATGAGGATCTTTGTTTTCTTGATGTTGAAATACAATCCAAATAGAAGTGCTCCTTGGAGGCAAAGATGACAAAGCTTTATCTCTCATACCTTGGGCATGTTGCTAGGAGAGGCTATTCTTGAAAAGGACATCATGCTTGGAAAGGTGGAGGGTCAGGGGGAAAAAAGGAAGACCCTCAAGGTAGATTGACATAACTGTAGCAGTGTGCTTGGATGTGTCAGATGATGAGGATGACACAGAATAAGACAGGAGTCAGGTCTGTTGTTCATAGGATCATTGTGAATGTTCAACTCAGTGGCACCTAATAACAATAAAATGTGAACAGTTAATATAACAAAGTACATAAAATTCTAAATTGGAATTGAGGTTTCACAGAGTAACAATAAATTATAGTATTACTCCGTATCACCACTGTTATGTAACCTTCCAAAGATACTGATCAGTAGCTAGACAAAGGAGAGAAAGAAAACATTCAGGAAATAAGTAAATTTGTCATTATTTTGAGATTATAGTCTGTATATCTAGAAAAATCCATGAAATCTATTAGAAACAAAATAATGATGTGGCTCCATATGAAAGTCAGCAGCTTTTCCATACACAAAAGTTCATTGAAACAACATATTGAAATAAAAATAATCTCAAGAAATTACTAGGACAATGGGACAGGAGATGGTAAGATACCTACTACTTAGAAATACTAAATATGAAAGCACTGTATAAAAAACTGAAGACCAGGGGATACAGGCAGAAACTTGGAACAAAAAGATAAGACATACTAGTGCCCAGAGCTTACTCATTGTCCTTTCTAGGTGTTCTATTTAAGATGATTGTGATACCTGGTGGAGAAGTAGAGTGGGCAGTTGAAAAGAAAAGTTAGGAAATTGAGGTGGAAATAAAGATTTGATTTTGTGATTGTCAGCATGCAAGTGACACATCATATCATGTTGGCTGGATAAGATTGTTAAGGGAGTGCATAGAGGGAGATGAGATGGCACTCTTAATGGAACAGTGAGGAAGAAGGATGGTTAGCATAATCTGGGGATCCATGGGGGAGAATGCCTTGCTGTCTGTGGTGCATTTGTCTGCTGTCTCCAGTAGAAAGAATCCCTCAGGGATGTGCTCTTGTAGGCAGCATGACTACTGGTGAGCATTGGGGAAACTTCTTCACTCTGCCTTCTATTATACAGGGATGTTTATAGTACCTGCCCCATATATCCACATAAACTAAGTGAGTTAAGCCATGTAAAAATGTATTTAAGAATGTCTAGTATGTGGTAACTCATTAACTATTATCTTTATATTTTTTTAGAGTATTACCCTTTGTCTTGTCATCTTTGTATTAGCAATGTCTAGCACAGTATCTAATAGTGCTTTAAATTGCTTCTTTAGTACATCATTCTGTTAGCAGGACTGGAAGGGAGAGAGGGTGGGAATGATGAAATCGAATGATGGTAGAACTCTCTGAGGCATTAGAGAAGCTGACAGTTGAGAGAGTATCAAAAACAAAACATATTCTTTGGTCTAGGGTTTTGAATTTGTGTGTGAATAACTGAAAAAACTGACTGAATTAAGAATCCACAAATAAACTAAGAAAAATTAAGATTAGAGAAAACATACAGTTATTAAGATAAAATTTTAAAAACTCAAAACCTAGGGAGCTCTGGTGGCCTAGTGGTAAGAGGCTGCACTGCAATCTCAAGAGGTATGTGGTTTGAATCCACCAGATCCTCTGTTGGAGAAGGAGGGGTAATCTCCTGTAGTAGTTGGATCCGATTTCACAGTACACACAAATAAAATAATAAAATAAAATTTAAAAAAAAACAACCTCAAAACCTTAAGAACAAGTCACTCATATTCAGTTTATAGGTCCTGACCCAAGCCAAGAAATTATTTTTTAATTAATTAATTAGGCCATAAAGAAATTTGTCATTGAATAGCAATTTGCCATTTTGGAGTTAACCATTTTTCATGTGTATTTATATGGTTATGCTTTTTTTAAAAAGTCACTCTACTTTCAGTGATTCACACTAAAATATTAACAGGTTATATGCCTGCTAATTAGGGTGTGTTTCAGAAGAACCCAGTGGTGGGAAGAGGAGTAAGCTGTATTATATAGACTAGTTGATCATTAAAGTGGAATTTGTCCACTAGGCTTCCCCAATTCCTAGTGTGCAGCCTTGACCAGCTTTGTTCTTTTGAGGTTCCCTGTACTAGCCTCTAGTTTTGCATTTATTTGACATTTCCTGTAATAGAATATTTGAAAGTAAAAATAACTGAAAGCCTGTGTTTACCTGTTGTAATGCTCTACTTTCTTACACTAGATTGGAATTTGAGAAACAAAAGACTCGGCTAAATATTCAGGTAGAATATAGTCGAAACCAGCTGAAGAAGAAACAAAGTAAGATCATAGCACTAAAAGAAACAGTTCAGAAAGGTAAAGAAGACATTGATAACCTGAAGAAGGTAATGAATACAGGTGATCAGGGTGCTTCCTTACTGTATGTATGGCTTTTCCCGCCCCTTTATTATATTAGTCCAGTTCCTAGAGTATCCTAACGGTAATAAGCGGGGAGGCAGGAAGAGATGAAAGACATTGGATTGATGAGATGTGGAATTTGGCGGTGAGGTCAGGGGAAGTGCCACACCTGATTGATAGATTCTACCTTGTGTGATAGGGAAGGTTGGGCTAGGGAGTTGGGTCACCAAGATAGAGAGCAATGGAAAGAGCAGGTTCTGGAGAGAAAGTACCAGACCTGCAAAGCTTGAGTTGCCTGTGTGACATCTAGATGGCAGTTACAACAAGTATTTGATCCACAATCAACACCTTTGGTACCAGCAGTCAAGAAATCGAAAGACATACTGCATTGGGAAAGTCTGCTCTTAAGAATCTCTCCAAACTGCTATTGAGCAATGATGTCAGTTTAAAGACTTAAGTTTTGATTCAAGCTTTGCTATTTTCAGTCACTTGCTATGCATCTAAAAAGTTTTATAGTGAGTGAGGATGACAGAAGAACTGATGCCTTTGAGTTGTGTTGTTGGAGAAGAGTACTGGATATCCCATAGATTGTCCAAAGAACAAATAAATATGTCTTAGAGAACGTGCAACCAGGGTGCTCCTTTGAGACAGGGGTGGTGAAACTTCGTCTCGCATACATTGGGCATATTGTTATGTGGGGCCAGTCCTTAGAAGACGACATTATACTTGAAAAGTGAATAGTCAGTGAAAGAGAAGATAACCCTCAACAAGATGGATTGATACAGTGACTATAGCAGTAGGCTCAAATATGTCAGAAATTATGAGGATGGCATTTGATAGGACAAGATTCAGATCCATTATCCATAGGGTCACTATTAGTTGTGCTTGACTCATTAGCACTAAGTAACAACAATGTATGGTAAGAAATTGTGCTGCCAAACCACAAGCATGTGGTTTGTATTTACCAGCTGCTTCTCAGGCGGAAAATAAATGGGCAATCATCCATGCAATTTACTGCCTTTTGAAAACCTGCTGGAGGGTCAGCTATGAGTTGGTTCTGACTCAACAGTACACAAGAATAACATGTAGGTGAAGGGCAGAAGTGTAGGTTGGAGGTGTGTATTCAACAGTTCCTAATTTGTGACTATAAATAGAGATCATAATAAAATGCTTTAGAGCTCTTGAAGGTGTGATCAGATAGGTGATAAGGAGAACCAGAAGTTGTAGTTGTCGAGGCCCAGGGTTCCAAAAAGCAGGAAATTATGAAGACTGTAAAAAAATGTAAGTCTATATAGGGCCTCCACAAGAAAAGGACTACCTACAACCAGGAGAAGATAAAATAGATGAATGGGAACTTCTAAGAATCAAATCACTATGCACATCCAAAAACTTCTCTTAACAGGGTAAAAAGGGAAGCCACAGACTAGGAAAAAGTATTTGGTAATGACATATCAGATAAGGGACTTACATCTAGAATTTATAAAATACTTGAGCACCACAGCAAGATAAAGGTAAATAATCCAATTGAAAAATGGGCACAGGATATGAACAGACACTTCAGCAAAGAAGACATTCAGATGGCTAACAAGCACATGGAGAAATGTTCAAAATCCGTAGCTCTAAGAGAGAGACGCAAATCAAAACAACTATGAGATATCATCTCACCCCACTATGAGATATCATCTCACCCCAGTAAAAATAGCAATATTTAACACAACAGCAAGCGACAAATGCTGGCGAGGTTGTGGAGAAACGGGAACACTTATTCACTGTTGGTGGGAGTGTAAAATGGTGCAACCACAGAGGAAGGCAGTATGGCGCTTTCTCAAAAAGTACAAATAGAGATACCATTTGACCCAGCAATTGCACTACTGGGAATATACCCTAAAGAGACCATAACCGATATCCAGGCAGATATATGCACACCCATGTTTATCATGGCTTTGTTCACAATAACGAGTTGAAAACAACCCAAGTGCCCATCAACAAACGAATGGATAGAGAAGCTGTGGTATATTCACACAATGGAATACTATGCTGCATTGGAAAACAAGGAACTCATGCAATATTATTTCAAATGGGTGACCCTGGAGGACATTATGCTGAGTGAAGTATCTCAGTCACAAAAAGGACAAATACTGCTTGGTGCCACCGTTGTTAACAGGACTGACATCGGGTTGGGGGGAGACTGAGAAAGATGGGTTCAATAATGTATACTGCATTTAACAGATGAGGGAGAAAACTGTTTAAAAGGGACATGTGATTAGGTATTTTTGTCATGACAGGAGTCCAGAGTGAAGGCTGCATAGTGGAGTGGACCTGGGGGAAGGGATTGTAAAACAATGAAAGCATTTTTCTTTTACTTTTCCAAGAGAGGAGGGTTGGGAGGGGAGATAAGTGCAACAGTGAATACATGGATATCCAAAGTCTCTGTAAATTTTCATTGAAATTAATAATAAATTTTAAAAAAAGGAAGAAGAAAAAAGACTGACAACCAAATAACAAGATGGGTAGAAGGCAAGAGAAGACTTCACAAAGGAAGACATAGGATGGCCAAAAGACACGTGAAGAAGTGTTCAAAATCACTGGCAATCAAAGATGCAAGTTAAAACAGTAACATGCCATTCTACCTTAGTAGCATAGTTGACCAAGATGTGGTGTTTGTTGTTATATGCCAGCAAGTTGACTATGACTGCTTGTGACCCTATGAGCAGTGGCTCTGAACCTTGCCCTGTTCTTAGGCAACCTCACCATCTCTGACACACCTGTCCTGGTTGCCACAGTCACTGTGTCAGTTCATCACATTCAAGATCTTACTGTCCTACACAGACTCTCCCTCCTTCCAAGCATGATGTCCTTTTCCAAGGACTGGTCCCTCCTGGCAACATTCCTAAAGTAGGTGAGACAGCTTCAAAGCAAGCAATAAATGTTGGAGGGGATGCAGAGATGCATGAATGCTTATTCACTGGATTGTAAAATGATACAACCACTTGGGAAGGCAATTTGGTATTTCCTCAAAAACCTGAACATAGAAGTCCTGTATGACCTAGCTCTTTACCTGCTAAGAGTATACCCCAAGAAAGTGAAAACCAAGACACAATCAGAGATAGGTACACCTATGTTCATAGAACATTTTTCACAATAGCAAGACAGTGGAAACCACCCCATCAAAAATCAAATGAATTGAAAAATTATGGTATGCAATGGAATGCAGCACTAAAGAACAATGATGGAATAAAGTATAGCATGGGAGGGTCTAGAGAGCATTATGCTGAGTAAAATAAGGATAAATACTATATAAGATAATTATGTGAAAATATAAGGATAACTGAGCCAGATGTGTATAAATCTTCAAAAGAGGGGAAAAGAAGCAGTAGTGGGGAAAGGGGAGGGGAGAAATAACTGAGATAGTGGAGCTTAGTGGGCAGTTGAGGGGTGAAGGAGTAGGAAAGATTCAGTGGGGATTTGAAGAGCTGGAATGGCAGTCAACAGTAATTATAAAATGTATGTGAATGTATAAACTAAATGAATAATATGAAACCAGTTAAAATATGGGGGAAAGATTAGAAAATTTCATTGCCAGGTGAGAGGTCATTTTCATTGGGAAAATTGGAAGAGAGATCAGATGGCACTGAGCTGAGACATGAAACTGAAGTGAAGATAAGGTAGGTGGGTGTTAGGAGTTGAGTGCCTCCACTGCTTACCTACAACAGAGTGAGACCCCATGCTACCCTCCCAGTTCTTAAACCTTTTGTTGCAGTCAGGCCATCTCCTTGAGGGTCTATCTTTCTGCATTTTTATGGGTCAGGAAGTGGCCCATATTCATCAAGAATATAGAAGAAAAGACACTTTCCCAGCAGGGTCCAGGCAGTGCACAGGATAAGGAGGCTAACCTGAGAATGACTGATCAGGTCTTGTTATTGACAATTAATGTGAAAGATTGTGAATTTGCCATCTTTTTTTATTGGCAGACTGAAGAAAGTTGCCTGCAAGTAGTGAATGGTCTTTTGGATAAGCAGCAGCAATTTAAGGACATTTTTGTCACTCAGAATTCCAACATTGAAAAGATCCAGGCTCAGATTGAAGAAGAACGGAAGAAGCTTTTGGTTATTGATAGGTAATTAATGGTTGAATCGGTTTGAAAGTCATAACTATAATTTTTTTAAAAGTTTACAGAAAAGTTGGCTTTTTCCCCTGTGCACTTAAAAAAATTCATTTCCTTTTTGTCATTTCCTCCCTCTACTCCATCCCTCTTCCAGTTCACTTTGCTATGTGCACCTTATTCTGAACTGTTGTCATATAATGTCTAACAATGTATTTGTTTTAAACAGTTCATTCCTTCATCTATTCCAATGTAGTGTTCATTTTTATCTCCTCTTTTCTTAGTTTCTCACCAAACCCCATGTCAGTCCTGTTTTGTAACAGTAGTATTATACAGTATTTGTTTGATTTTGTCAAAGACAAAATTGCATCAATTGGTAGGATCATATCGTTACTGTTGTTTGCTTTGTTAATGAGTTACAGTTGTGTGTGTGTGTGTGTGTTTATGTTGAACAATCCCTGCATACCTGTTGTTAATCCCACTTGGTCATGGTGAATTTTTTTTTCTTATGTACTTTTGGACTCTTTTGGCCAAGACTTTAATGAGATTTTTGCGTCTATGTTCATGAAAAATAACAGCCTATAGTTCCTGTTTTAGTGATGCCTTTACCTGACCTTGGTATCAAGGACATGTTTGCTTCATAAAATGAGTGTGGGAGAATTCCATCTTTTCCTATTTTCTGAAATACTTTGTGTAGAATTGGTGACAGTTCTCTGAATGTTTTATAAAATTCCCTAGTAAAACAGCTGATCTAGCTCTTTTGTTGTTAGGTACTGTTGAGATGAGTATAACTTACAGCAACTCTGTCGGGGAAAAAAAAGATCTGTTGAAAGTTGTATTATCTGTTAAATTTCTTTAGTAATGGATCTGTTCAGGTGTTCTACTTTGGTCTGTGTTAGGTAAATTGTGAGTTTCTAAGTATGTGTCCATTTCCTTTAGATTTTTATATTTGTTTGCTTGTAATTTTTCATAACATTCCCTTGTTAATCTTTTTCTTTTAGTTGGTTCTTCTCTTATTCAGATTATGTGTGTCTTTTCTTTCTTTTCCCTTGTTAGTTTTGCTAGTGGTTTGTCAATTTTACTGACCTTTTTAAAAAATCAACTCCTGGTCTTTCTGATGATTTCAATTGTTTATTTGTTTTCTATTTCATTTATTTCTGCTGTAATTTTTATAAGTTTTTTAGAGGATGTCAGATTTTCTTGCTGCTGTTTTTCTTCTTGTTGGAGATGTTGGGTTAAAAATTGATTGTCATTTTTTCTTCTTTTTTGATGTGGTTGCTTATTGCTATAAATTGACCGCATGGTTCAAAATTGGGAAGGGCGTACGCCAGGGATGCATCCTATCTCCATACCTTTTCAACCTATATGCAGAACATATTATCCGGGAGGCTGGGCTCTATGAGGAGAAATGTGGGGTCAAGATTGGTGGACGATTTATCAACAATCTGCGTTATGCGGATGACACAACCCTGCTTGCTGAAACTGAAGAGGACCTGAAGCGCCTGCTGCAGAGGGTCAAGGACTGCAGCCTACAATATGGATTGAGGCTCAATGTCAAGAAGACAAAGATTCTCACCACTGGACCAATTGGCAGCGTCAGGATGGATGGTGAAGAGATTGAGACTGTACACAGCTTTAGCTTGCTTGGCTCCACAGTCAACATTCTTGGCACCAGCAGCCAGGAAATTAAAAGGCACATTGCCATGGGAAAGTCTGCTGTTAGGGACCTCTCCAAAGTACTGAAGAGCAATGGTGTCTCTCTGGAGACTAAGGTGCATCTGATACAGGCCATGGTCTTCGCAATCACTTGTTATGCATCTGAGAGTTGGGCAATGACCAAGGAGGCTAGAAGGAGAATTGATGCCTTTGAGCTGTGGTGCTGGAGAATAGTATTGAGAAACCATGGACTGCTAGGAAAACAAATAGATTTGTCCTGGAGTTGGTTAAACCGGGTGGCTCCTTGGAGACAAGGATTCTGAGGCTCCGTCTAACATACTTTGGACATGTTGTGAGGAGAGACAAGTCCTTGAAGAAGGACATCATGCTTGGGAGGGTGGAGGGACAGTGCAGGAGGGGAAGATCCTCTATGAGGTAGACTGATTCAGTGACTGGGATAGTCGGGATGGGAGTGTCAGAGACAGTGTGATTGGCACAGGGCAGAGCGGAGTTTAGGGCTGTTATACATAGGGTCGCTATGAGTCGCAAGCGACTCGACGACACATAACAACAACAACTTGGCTTTTTCTAGCCGAGTTTTATAATGCTTCGAGTTTGTCTTTCACTCATTAAAATACTCAATTATTATTCTTTTGAATTCTGCATTAGAAAGTTTCATTTGACTTTCTGGCCTCAGGAAATTCATTAATTCTGTGTCACTTTTCAGGATTGACATCTTGTTTTGGGTTTGTGTAAAGTGTGAGGTAGTCTGCTTCTTTGTGTCATTACTGTGGTGGAGTTTTTCATGCCTTAGGGTCTTGGTCTGTTAATGTTGGCTCAGGAACTCACGATTCCCGAGGAGAGAAGGACAGCTCACCCTGCCTTAATTTCTCTCTGATCTTTGAAAAATATGGAATGCTTTGCAAATTTGCATGTCATCTTTGCATGGGGCCATGAAAATTTTCTCTCTACCATTCCACTTTTAGTATATGTGTTGCCAGAGGGTGAACCATATTTTAAAAGATGTCCACTTGGAAGTTGTTAGAGAAATTTTTGTTGTTTTTATTATTCCCTTGGTTGCTTTGGTCCTGTGTCACCCTCTTTAAACATTGTTAATTTAATGGGGGAAACTGAGAGACACAATTGTTTAGTGTGAAAAGAAATTGTTTGTTTTCTGTATAAAAACTTGGATCTCTGTCCACTGACCCTACATCCCCAGTATCCCACTGTTGTTGTTGTTGTTGTCGTTGTTATGTGTCATCGAGTTGCTTGGGACTCATAGCGACCCTATGTACAGCAGCCCTAAACCCTGCTCTATCTGGTGCCAATCGCACTGCCTCTGCCACACCCATCCCGATTACCCCAGTCACTGAATCAGTCCACCTCATAGAGGGCCTTCCCCTCCTATGCCATCCCTCCACCCTCCCAAGCATGATGTCCCTCTCCAAGGACCTGTCCCTCCTTATAACATTGTCCAAAGTATGTCAGATGAAGCCCCAGAATCCTTGCCTCCAAGGAGCACCCTGGTTTAACCCTCTCCAGCATGAATCTATTCTGCATATAGATTGAAAAGGTATGGAGACAGGATACAGCCCTGGTGTACACCCTTTCCAATTTTGAACCATGCAGTGTTTCCTTGCTCTGTTCTTACGACTGCCTCCTGGTCCAAGTACAGGTTTCACATAAGCACAATCAAGTGTTCTGGGATTCCCATTTTTCTTAGAGTTAGCCACAGTTTGTTGTGGTCCATACAGTCAAATGCTTTTGCATAGTCATTGAAAAACAGATAGACATTCCTCTGGTATTCTTGCTTTCAGCCAAAATCCAGCTAAAATTAGCTACCATATCCCTAGTACCACAGCCTCTTCTAAACCCAGACTTCACTTCCGGTGGTTCTCTGTTGATGTTCTGTTCTAGTTGTTTTTTTATAATCTTCAGCACAGTCTTGCTTGTATGTGACATTAATGATATTGTTTGATAATATTCACACTCTGTTGGATCACCTTTCTTTGGATTGGGAAGAAATAACAGCTCTCTTACAGTCAGTTGGTCAGGAGGCTCTCCTCTAGATTTCTTGGCACAGCTTGGTGAGCACATCCTGTTTAAATCTGACATATTTCAGCTAATGTTTGATAATGGGTCACAAAACATTAAATGAAGGTAAAAACAGACTTTTAAACAAGTAGTTCTGGTAAAACTGGATATTTCTTTGTGAAAAATTGAAACAAGAATTGTTTCACACTATATACAAAAACAAACTAGAAATAGATTAAGAACTTAGTTGAAAAACTTGAGATTATAAATTTCATAAAATTAAAAATAGGGGGAAGTTGTTGTTGTTATGTGCTGTTGAGTCGTTTGCGACTCATCAGCCCTAAACCCTGCTCTATCCTGCACCAACCGCACTGCCTCTGACACACCCATCCCGATTACCCCAGTCACTGAATCAATCCATCTCATAGAGGGTCTTC